ATCTTCCTTTTATGTTTCCTGTGTTGTTCAATGTTTTGTCCATAGAATCCTTCAATATTGCAATTCAAGGTCTGAGATGTGTATATGTGTATGTATGTATGTGTGTGTATGTATATATATATATATATATACACACACACATACATACATACATATATGCACACACACACACACACATTCCCTCCTCCCCCATTTCTTTCTGAAATGCCAAGCATGATCTTCCCTTTTGGTTTCCTAACTTCAGATCTTAGCACATTTCATTATAATACTTTATCTTCTCAAGCCACCCTTTGAAGTATTCTGTTCAGCTCTTTTACCTCATTTGCTCCATTCGCTTTAGCTACTCTATGTTCAAGAATAAGTTTCAGAATCTCTTCTGACATCCATTTTGGTCTTTTCTTCCATGATATCAACCCCCCAATTTTCTGGTCTTCAGTCATCAGTGTTCAAGGCGTCATATCTATTCTTGAGATGGTCTCTTAATTCAGGTGGGATATACTCAAGGCTGTACTTTGGCCAGACAACCTGGGTTCAAATTCCACCTCTGCCTCTTACTGCATGATCTTGGGTAAGTGACTGAACCTCCCTGTAGCTCAGTTTCCTCATCTGTTCCTCCCTCCCAGGATTGTTGAGGTTGGAATGAAATCATGCACACAAAAGCTCTCAGCACAGAGCTCTCCCTTTTTATAAACTACTATGATGATGACCTTTGCCAAGTGTTATGTTAAACAGGGAGATGAGAGTAAAGTAGGAATAAGTAAGACAGCCCTAATTTCTGATTCCCTGAAACCTCTGGGGTTGACACAGACCAGTTCTGTTTAACTTGCCAAACCAAATAAGATAAGAAGTGAGAGAGGCCAGCTGTTCCCCTGTCAGTTACCAGGGGCCTCTGGATTTTGTGAGCCTGCTTTAAACATGGTTGCTAAGGGGCCTTGGAGAGCCGTGTGGGAAGAAGTTTCAGCCCCCAGAGAAAAAAAACACCCTATCCTCCCACTCCCACTCCTCTTGTTGGACTTCTGGGCGGAGATGCTATTCAGGGATGGGGCATCCAGGAGACTGTAAATGCTGGTTGCCGGGAGAACTTTCCTGACTGAGCACCCCTTTTGTCCCAGGCCAATTCTGCATGCAGGGCTCCTTCCATCCCATGCCACCTCACCCAGGTGCTCAGCTTGGTGGAGCCATAACTCTTACCAATTCGAACTCTCCAGGAGCAGGAGCTTCGGAAATAGGAGTAGAGGACAGGCTGAGGAGAGAGAGGATGAAGGTGCACTTTAACCCGTGCCTGGTGAGTTCCCAGCCCCAGGAGCCCACTGGAGTGAGGGGACTGGCTCCCACACCAAGGTGCTCTGAGCCACTACTGTTTTCTCTCATCCTGCTGAGCCTCCTGGCTCAGAGCTGTGCCTGAACAACTCTTCGTCAGTGGCCTGGGAGTCATGGGTGGGCCCTTGGCTCCTAGCTGTGCTGGCACGTGCTCCTGAGGTTGGAGAGGCCCCCAAAGGTGTAACTTGCCTGGGAGGGACTTCCTTACCTTACTGGACTCAGCCATGGTGCCACAGTGACCCTCGGGTTCCCAGAAATGTCTCACAGAACTATGGGGTAGGGAGAGGAACTCTGAAGGGGTGGATCCCATGAGCCAATGGGGAAGCTGGCCTAGACAGGCTCCTAGGGAACTTTGATCCTAGTCAGAAAGGGCATCTTTTTCCAACTTGTGGGAAGTTGCTCATGCAAATAATGTCCAACTTCCTGGTGGAGTCTTACTTGGTGTCCTGTGCAGACAGGGCAGCCTAGTTTTCAGGCAGGACTTTGGGTGTGTTAATGGGCTAGGAGCTGGCATACTTGGGCTCTGTCCCAGTGCAGAAACCAGCTCTACACAACCTTGGACAAATGTCTTCCCTTCTCTAGTCTTCAGTTTCCTTGTCTGTAAAATGAGGGGTTGCCCCAAAGTGACAACTCAGATTCCTTCCAGTAGTGGCAGAAAGACCCAGGATTCTAATTCTTTGATTCTTTGGTGACTGTCTCCTTCAAGTCCTCCACCCACCAGTCTGCTAAGCTCTTAGTTGGATAAGCTCATTCACTCCAAAGCTGAGGTGGCAAGCTACCAGCCCATGGTGGCCCTATCTAGCCCTCACAAGTGTTTACAAACCTTTCAATTAGTTGCCAACATTTAAAAATCAGGACACTGTGGAGTTTGGTTCTTGAGTAGCTGTAACTGATTGGAGCTGATTAGAGGCATGCCCTCTCTGATCTACGTGGCCCACTTCTCTCATTTTTGTTCCCTCTGAGCCCCTTGAAACTGAGTTTCAAGAGACTTAAAAGTTAATTTTCCTGGTGCTTCTTGGGCAACCAGCTGCAGTGTGATGAATGCTTTAGTTTGGCTTTTCTAGCCATGGTCTTGTAACTCCTACCAAATGACTGTATGTTGTTGTTGTTAAGTGCTGTTGAGTCCTCTCCGACTCATAGTGACCCTATGCACAAGCAGAACACCAGGTCCTGTGCCAGCCCCACGATCCTTGCCATACTTGAGCCCATGATTGCGTGGGATTATGCAAATAAGGTACTTGTGGCCTACTAAGGAGATTGCACAGCTTGCCAATAATGCAAATAAATTGTATGAAACACTTGGGGTGGGAGGAGACCATGCAAAAAGGTCTATGGAACCCTAAAGAAGAGACTAGTCAGTTTTTCTATCCCACTAGGCTTAAAATGAGCCATCCCAGAGGCAGAAGGGGGAACCTGACAACCACCAAGAAGAGACAGGAGCTGAGCATGTTCTTGGGATCTATGGTCCCTGTGCCGAGAACCTCCTAGACCCAGGAGACAGAGAGATAGCTATAATACTAGAGATGGTGCAAAATGGCAAGAAGTAGTGGCAGAGAAATGGCAGCAACAGACTCAGGAGACTGGTGCAAGATGGCATGGTGGGCTTCCCAGGGAAGACATGCAAAATGGCTGCAGTGGGTGTGCCAACCCATAGAGCTACTGAGCAGGAGCCTTCCCGGTGGAGTGGGGTACAGCTAGGCACTTACTTGCAGAGCTAAAGAACTTTATCAAAGCAGGGTAGAGGCCAGGCTGGGGGTCCCAGAGGCCAAGATCTAGAGATAAGCCTGCCTGTAGGCACACAACTGAGAAAAAGCTGTCCTGACAACAAAACTATATCCTCAACGGTCCCTGATCCTGAATCATAACCTATTACTTCCCTAATAAACCCCATAATTGTATTGTCTGTGAGTTCTGTGTGACCATTCCAATGAATTATCAAATCCAACATAGAAGTAGAGTGTGACATGGCAGGGACAGCTCATGCCACAACTAGTAAAAAGGTTCCCAGGTAGAGGTATGTTTGATTTCCACCTCATAGGACTCAGCCTTGGGCTTATGCTAACAATGATTCTCTCTCCTTCCTCTTCCTCTTGTGAAGCCTGACACTGCCACCATTTTTATAGTTGCTGCCTGTTCTTTTTCCCCCCCCTTATATCGGCATTTCAAAGCTGGACCCGGGACAGAGTCATCAGGGATTGTTGTTATTGGGGTTGTAGGGTCAATTCTGACTTGTGGCGACCCTGTGTGACATAGTAGGACTGCTCCATAGGGTTTTCTTAGTTTCAGTCTTTATAGAAGCAAATCACTAGGTGTTTTTCCTGTGGAGCTCCTGCGTGGGTTTGAACTGGCAACCTTTCAGTTAGCAGCAGAATGCCTACCTGTTATACCACCAGAGCTCCTTCACCAGTGATTACTCTTGAGTATTTAGGCAGACACTGGTATAGTCATAAGGATAGATATAGGACTCAGCAGGATCTCCCAGATCACCTCTGTCTAACACTCCTCTGACTATAGACGTTTCACTGGAGTTCCCTCTCCCCTCTGACACCCCAGCACTCCAAGCTGCTTTCTGAACCTGCTTTCCCCATCCCTGCACCCCAACTCCAACTCAGTGTTCTAAGCAGGCAAGGGCATAAGCCAGAACCCAGAGCCTCCCAAGATGGTTCCTGAGCTTGAGAGCCCAGCCTTGTTCTGCAGGCATTTTTTTTTTTTGGTGGGGAAAGTGAAGATGGCCTTGGCACGCGGGACAGTTGATAGGTAGTGGTACTGTCCTTGGAAGAGCAGAAGTTGGGTGACCATAATTTAATGTAGCTCCTTCCTCACGTGACCAGGCTGGAGTGGCCCCTGGGCCAAAAAGCAGAGACTGTTGGGGAGGAATAGAACACTAGAGAGCAGCAGAGGGCAGCTTAGCTCCCTGGAGAAATGCCTTACCCAATTGCTTAATGTTACACCTTTGACCACAGTCATAGTAAATGCCCCCATTATGTCTCTTGCTGGCTCATAAGTCGGAAACATGAAATCTCTTAGACATTTAATTTCTGCTCTTTCTTTTACCAGTGGTAACTATATAAACTATCATGTAGTTCTTTGTATTTGTGGAGCTAAATCTTTAATAAAATATCCATCTCATCACCACTTCTGCAAGAATTTTGTTTCCAATCTGCTCTGGTCACCTAGTGCCAGACTCTGACAAGAATATACCACAAATGCGATGACCTTAACAAACAGGATTATTCTTACAATTTGAGGCTTTAAGTCACAGGTCAAAGTGCCAGGCTCTGGGGCTGGGTGAAAGTCCCTCAACCTTGGGTTGCAGCTCTGCCTCCTGCTACCGACCCACTGAAGCTGGAGGCTTTTCTTCACTCAGACAACTGCTGGCTGCTGAGGCTGACAAACCCAAGGTTGACAAGTAAAAAGGCACAGTCCGGATGTTATCAGGGCAGGCCATTACTTCAAGTCCATTGTAAGTCCCAGGGTCGGCAGAGCATGGCAGGCTGCTGAACCACACAGCTACATGCAGGGTCCAAGTGTGCCATAAGCTAGAGACCATTCCCCAAGGCTTCTGCTTATATAAAGGAAGCAGACCACATTCCCTAAGGCAGCTACTCAGCTGCTCACAGTAGATTCCACCATGGAGTTGATTACCAGTCTCATCATGAGGAATACTACATCCAGCTGCCCAGCCACTCAACCAGGCCCAGCCAAGTTGACACACAAACTGAACTACCACACAATCCAACTCTAGATTCTCATCACTCTTCAAGATCTTATTTCCTGTCTCTTATATATGCTTTTTGAGAAAGATCTTTAAAATTCCACTTCGAAATAGGACGGCTATACAGGAGCGTGGTGACTAAGACATTTGACTTCTAACAGAAGGCTGGCGGTTCAAACCCACCAGCCACTGCGGGAAAGGAGGACTGGGCAATCTACTTCCGTAAAGATTTACTGTCTCAGAAACCCAAAAGTCATCGTTATGAGTCGTAATCGTGTTGATGGCAGTGAGTTTAGTTTTTCAATACAGTATGAAACAAACAAAACCTATTGCTTTGGAGTCTTCAATTCGAAGTAGAACCGCCCCATAGTTTCCAAGGCTGTAAATCTTTACAGCAGACTGCCACAACTTCCTCCCGCGAGGCAGCTGATGAGTTTCACCGCTGACCTGACTAGCAGCCGAGGGCTACTCTACCAGGGCTCCTCTACAGCATTAAACGACGGTGTATCCCATCCTTCCAGCTACAATTGCGGTCTACAAACTTCAGTTGCAAATAAGAATCATCTGAGGCTCTTATTTAACATGCAGATTCCCAAGCCCTTTCTTCCAGAGACGTATAAAGTAGCTTCCGGGAGCGCGCCGGGGCGAGACACGCATGTTACACCTGGCAAGCTCCCCAAGTGACTCGATGTGCCACGCCTCATATCGCCCCTGGTGCTCTCTTAAAATGCAAGCGTCCTAGAAAGCCATCCTCTAATTGTTAGGACCGGTTGACCGGCTGGGAGAGGAGCAAGCAGGGCTGTGCGGAAGAAAGACGAGGGGCAACATCTGGAAGCGCTAGTATTAGTAGGGGAAGAGAGAGGATACAGTGACAGCGCCCGCCAGCACGCTCCACCCAGGTCCGCCCCTTTAGTCCAATCCAGCCTGGACCGTACACGCTAACCCGCAGTGCGCAAGAGCAGAGCGTGACCCGCGCAGCGCACTGCACGCTGGGAGTCGTTGGCGGACCTCCGAGTGGAAGGAGCCCCACACCCCCTCCAGGAGTTCGAGCGTCTTAACTAGCGCCCCTCCCTGGATGCGAAGCACAGACCTTCCCAGCTTGCATCTCGCACTTCTAGAGACCCCTGGTCCAGGGCGGGAAACTTGGCGCCTGGAAGTCGCCGACTCGTCGCCGATTAAGACCCAGCGAAGAACCTTGCCTTCTTCTTGGTAGAGCGTGGGATTGGACTAGAATGATCTTAACCCGCTCTTCTAGTTCGCTTCGACCTTCTGCCACACCCCCAGTCCCGGCACTGTTGGGAAATGCAGTTTTTTGAGCTCGTCTTCTCGTCTGCCCTGTCCTGCCTGGTCCTACCAGTACCGTCATGCTCTGCGCCACCAGCCGCCTCTTAGCGGCCAGGGCGGTGACCACATTTCCCGCCCAGGCTAGAGCTCGGGGCTCCGCGCAACGATGCCGCCGGCGAGAACTACATTTCCCGGGTCACCCTGCGCTGCCCTTTTGTGACTTCTTGGCGGGGCGGGTGACAAGACCAATCCTGCCACCGGGCCGGAGAGTTATCCTGAGGAGGGGAAGGATGCCGCCCGTAACGGGCGGAAGCCTGGCTGGATCAGAGCTGCGGGCCCGGCGGGATAGCTGTGGGCCGCAGGCTACTAGGGCGGTGGGCCCGGACGTGGCCTCTGAGAATGCAGCGCGAAGCCCCAAACGGCCTGCTCAGGGCTCGTGGCGCCTTGAGGCAGCCGGTGGGTGGGCCCTGTTGGTCCTGGTGACGCTGCTGTCCTTCGCCACCCGCTTCCACCGTCTGGATGAGCCACCGCACATCTGGTGAGTGGCAGAGAGACTTGACAGGAGCCATGGCAACCCGGAGGAAGGGACGCCGCCCTCTGATTGGCCCGGGACACGGAGGGGGCGGGGCGATATTAACCAGAGTCGGGGCCGGGGATGCGGTAAAGGGGAAACTGAGGTTTCTAGAGGTTGCCTGTGACGAGGACTGATTTTGTTCTGGTGGGTAGCAGTGGCGTTCTCATGCCTTTCAGGTTATGCTGGAGAGTCTCACCTGGCATTCAAATTGTGGTTTTTAAAGCTGCTTTGAACTGTCCAAGTTTTGGAAATTCTTAGCACAGAATTTCCCAGACTTGAGTTCTTAATTCTCAGGCTCTTCAGGCATCAGCAGAGGGGGAAATTCCTAACCGAGTGCCTTCATTTTCGGGAGCAGAGATAGTTTTAGCCTCCAGGTGGCAAGGGTTCCAGAAGGCAGGTCTGTGGTGGTCCTGTGAAAATTATCAGTCCGATTGAAACATAACGGTCTATGTGTTTGCACACACACGAGGCGGGGGCGGTCCATGTTTGGGAACTGCTGTTGTAACCTCTGGCACATCCGAATAGTTCAGGACTAGCCATGACCACGTGAGCTTTTCTGTTTTCATAACAAGATGACGAACTCAGCAGCAGGTCAGATCGCCAGCAACAGCTGGCATTCACTTAGACGAACCATATGGTTGTTGGCAGGCTGTAGTGCGGGGTGGAGGAGCCAGGGGGAGCATGAATTGTTCACCTCTAGGTGTCTGAGGTATTCCTTCCCCAGTGCCGGGTTTGCTGCTCTGCTTTTACTGCCATATAATCTGTGTGTCCAGTCTAGTACCCATAACTTCACCTTTTCTCCAGTCATTTCTGTTAATACCCAGACCTTTATGTCTGGAGGAGCTGGGTATGAGAGAGACAAGGACATTTTTAGAAAACTGACTGAGATGCAGTATGTCTCCCACCCTGGCCCATTAGACCGCTGTAGGGGGCCAGCAAGCAGTGTACCCAACTAAGTTATCAGTCTTTATGCTCTAGGGCCGTGTCAGTCCAACAAGACATTTCCGGTGACTAAATTAGAATTAAGTTGGGATTTTATAGACCCCTTGCTCACACCCTTATCCCCAGGCTGATCAGGAAATACTTTGTCCTGATCCTTACCCAGCTGGTAGCCAAGAGGAAATGACTCCTTTCTGGGGATGACTGCATGAGGTGAGCCTCCTGCTTTACTCAGGTGTGTGGGCCAGGTGGAGGAGAGGTGGAAGCAGTCAGAGATCTTTCTGAGTTGGTTTTTGAGGGGCCGTTTCAGTGGTTGACAATACTGGATGCTGCCCCGTGGACACCATCAGCTTCACTGTGACTCAGTGATAGGATTCCCACCCTCCGTCCTGTGGACCTGCGTTTAGTTCCTGTGCGACACGCCCCATGCTCAGCCACCACCCACCTGTCGGGAGGCTTGCGTGTTGCTACGATGCTGAACAGGTTTCAGTGGAGCTTCTCGACTAAGACAGCCTGGGAGTAAAGGCCTGGCCATCTACTTCCAACCATCAGACAGTGAAAACCCTGCGAATCACAGTGTTCTGATCCACGGCTAATCACCGGGATGGCATGGGACTGGGTGTTGTTTTGTTGGGCATAGTGTCACCAGGGGTTGGAGGCTGACTCCAAGGCAGCTAACAGCAGCAAAAACCATCAGAGACCCAGGCACAAGCATTTATGGGAACCTCTGCCAGTCAAGGGCCCCACTGTTGTTGTTGTTGCCTGTTAAGTGCCGTCAAGTCGTTTCCGACTCATAGCGACCCCATGCACAGCAGAACGAAACACTGCCCGATCCCGCGCCAGCCCCACAATCCATGCTATACTTCAGCCCATCATTGCAGCCACTGTGTCAATTCATCTCGTTGAAGGCCTTCCCCTCTTTTGTTGACCCTTCACCCTACCAAGCATGACATCCTTCTCCAGGGAATGGTCCCTTCTTACAACATGACCAAAATAGGTGAGACGAAGTCTGGCCATTCTTGCTTCCAA